AAGAACTAAAGGGAAGCAAGATAAATATTCATCATTAAAACTACTGAGTTTGTGAGTAGGCTGAGATGCTGCCCGGATGCCCAAACAGTAGATTTCATTAGGGCAGCCACTTTCCGAGCCTTTGACTTAGAAGTCTAATCCATGAGGTAGTGAGGAACGTCAGACGCATTCTCAAGATAGCCAGTAACCAACGATAAGCTTATACGGCATTTGTTCCATCAGGATACTCGAGCCCATGTGATCTGTTGGTTTGGAGTCAGGGTTTTCCAACTTCCCTAAGTAGATATTCCGTTTTCACTAAGTCAGTTTAAGCGCTGGACATTCATTTTTCATCTTCTCAACTTTGTATACAACACCTCTACCGCAAGGTAGTGAGTTGGACATACTTGGAAGAGGGAGACCTGACTCTGTCAAACCCAACCAAACAGGCTATCCTGCGTGAAAAGTGGAAAAATTTGGTCAGCAGACAGTTGTATGATTTCTTATGTTATTTATAACTGGTAGTATTGTTTCTGTAAGTCATTACAAAATGATTATTGAGAAAAATGTTACTACAACTTATTATCACAAAAAGAAACTTAAAACTCACGTAGACTTGCGAGCGTTCACCATATCCTGAAGCCTGAAGAGTTGTTCTTGTGGGTTTTGGGTATTTGAAAAGCCGATAGGCAATACTTTTTTATCGGTACTCAATGCTTCTAGTAAACGAGAGACATTCTTATTATTTTTTTGCTGATTTGCTGTTGTTGGACGCTGAAATTGATGTTTAGTAATTGTATAACTTACTTTCTTTATGCCATGGATTTTGCTCAAGAGAAAACGTATGCTTTTGGTCCACTCGTCATTAACAACCTTTAATCGCTCACGTTGTTCTTCATTTTCTTCAACACGTTTCAATCTCTCTAATTTCGAAGCTGCAATTTTATCTGCCAGAGCTTCTTTGAAATTTTGCGCCGGTTTATTACCGGTAAAACCATTAGTGAAGAAGATGTTTTCCACTATATGACCTACAAACTTAATTATCTATTGTCTGTTTCACCTTCGATTCCGCCTTCCACATCATTAGCCGTGCATAGTTTTCGAGCTGGTACACTTGAATCAAATGCTGCCTTGAATAAAGGATCTTTATCATCGACACTTTCCAAAGAAACGTTATCAAGTTGTCTCTATAATTTATATCAACGTGTCTAATGTAATTACCAATTTTTCGACGATATGCCTTTGCAAAGATTTTTCTGATTCAGTTAGAGTGACATTACGACTACCCAGACGTTTATCAAACAATCCACCCACTTTTCCATAACGTTCTAAATCTCTTTTAAGGGATTCGGAACGCTAACGAGTAAAAAACAATTGTAACTTACGGAAATATTATTCTTGCGAACTGGCTTCTTCACACATGTCCGGTGTTTTTTCACAGGATTTTTTCCCATTAATTTGAAGTCACTCGAATGTCGTAATATCTATACAGCTAATTATTTGGGATATGAAAGCGGAAGTAGAAATTATGTAGTAGTTTACCTGAAATTTGGGTCAATATTTCAATTTGACTAAACAAACTTCAAATTAAATTTTATATGGACGAGGGATCAACGGAATAAACGCAAATGATTAAAACTAGTGCTACGGTTTGATAAATATCAATGTCTTGTCGACACAAAGATCATCAGAAATATATAGATTATCAAAGATTTAAGCGAATCAAGACCTATGAAACTGATGGCTTTTAGCCTCAATAAATGATAAAGCTTCATTGCTGGTTACAAGTTCAGAACAATTGCTTTCATTTCAAGCTATATACATCATGGTTTGGAGGAACATACTTTGCCTACTTTATTTTAATTACCAAGAAATAAGTTCGATAGTTTTACTTCGTTATATATTAATCACATGCGGAATAAAAGTAGTTGGTCGAAAGAGCTTCATATCAACAGGTCTGAGCAAATATTCTTTATTGGCTCTTTTATTATCTTTCAAAGTTCCATCAAAAGCTATTAGTGATGAACTGCATAGATGGTAATCAAGTGTGATTTATTTGATAACGTTCGTTTTGACTTCATGTTGCATCAGTTATTCATTCCTACTTTCCGTATTCCTTACTCTTCAATTCATTCAGCAGCTCACCTATGGTGTAAATCTTGTCCCGTTTCAAACGAATTCTGAACCAGCCTTTTAGAAACCAAGTACGCCATCGTAGTACCCTCTGGAGACTTGAATTCACAGATCGGGCGTTTGGTAACAGAGCAGAGTCGTCTGAGTGACCAGTAGGGACTTTTTTGTCTCAGGTCACGTGGATCGGTCGCTACTGCAACTAGTCATGGAAAGCAACCAGTTTCTAGATAGCACTCACAAGAGGTGCAGCTTTCTCCGATGTGTTACCTGTCGTCCTCACTGACTTACTTCTAACCTTTTTATAGATGATAGCGATATTTTGACTATGAGACTTAGTTATTTACAACCATTTAGCAATTAGAGGGTGGTTTAAATCGTGGAGAGATTCAAAAGTTGTCCCTGTTCATGTCATCCATGTAACAACTATTTAGCGATAGGTCTGCTACCGATCGTGTCCTGACTGACTTCCGTCATACTTCGTAAATTGTTCTAAACCTGAGAAAGATTGAATTGTGAGGAGTAGGCTGACTTTTGTTTTAGAAGAGGATGTATTGATCGTAACTTCAACCCCCGCCGAATTCCAGACTTACCACAGGTCTTCCTTCAGTTTGTTGAACAAAGTTGTTCTGAGATTGTCTATTTAATAAGGGTGTACCTGAGAAGTTTATTAGCAAACTGAAGGCTTTAGATACAAACAGCTCAGGCAGGACCCAGAACCTGCACTTACTCCTGGTAGTGAGCAGATAGAAATCAAAATGTCCATGTACCTCGGAAGCTTTGAAAGTTCTGATGGCCGGACATGATGAGATTGATTCACGTAGTGAAGGCAAAGAGCTCTCTTTGGCGCCTTCGTGATGCAAGTCTGGCTGTAAAAGACTGGGCATATATTGTATCAATGACAGCAGGTTTGCAATATGATTTTAAAACCTGGCCTCTTCGAGTTGAAGATGTTAGGAAGCATTTTGTGTACGATAAGCGTCATCTACGAAGGACATTCATTGAAAAGACACAGAGGTTCGGGGAGATGTGTTCAGATCCGGTGACGATAATTTAATCGGTCTCACTATCATGCATAAGACCGACTTAACTGTCTCGGACATGTACTACGGATGTTGTCCTCAATCAATCAATAGCAACGTAGAACTTCGTACGTGAGTACATCAGTTAATGTTGCCATACTACGTTAGCACAGAGATGAAATTGTCGATTCAAATCCAATAGTAGTAGAGGTAGTAAAGGTATTAGAAGTAATCGGAGACGTTAGGATTAGAAGATACTATTCAGTCAATCAGTCACTTGCAACGTAGAACTTCGTACGTATGTAAATAAGTTCATGTTGCCATACCACATTAGCACAGAGACGCAAATGTCAAATCAAATCCCATAGTGATAGTAGAGGTATTAATGGTAATGAATAAGACTAGGGTTTGAAGTATTATTCAAGAAGTATAATTTAGCGAGATAAGGTTATAAAGACAAACATAGAGGTGCTGACGAATCCAGAAGATTAGGATTTGAGAGAGCACAACGAATAAATGCACTACTTCATCTGTTGATCTGTAGTTCCTACCTGGTACCCGTCTTCTAACGAAAGCATTGCTCACTCGGTAGTCCCAAGGTATACGATCAATGCTTCGAAGACACCTATGATCGAAAACCAGTAACCTACGAATATCTTCTACTCTCACTGGCCATGTTTCACAGACATATAGTAGGACGGAGCAAACTACTACGCAGTACACTCGTCCTTTAGTCAGCGAACGGATATCACGTCTACGCCATAAGTGACGCAGGTTGGCAAAAGCCAATCGAGCCTTCTGTATCCGAGCTGAGATTTCGTCAGTCACCAGGCCATCGGCACTGATCAGACTCCCAAAATAAGTGAAGCGGTCTACACGTTCGACCACTTCACTCCCTATCACTAGTTCAGGTGCCGATGAAACCCAATCTTGAAGCAACATTTTGCATTTAGAAGAGAAGGATCGCAACCCGAACATGCTTGCATTGTTGCTTATGGTAGTCAGAAGACTGCATTTAGTCAGTGTCTTCACCCAGTAGACCTGTGTAATCGGCATATCCTAAGTCAATAAGCGAGTCTCCTGGTAAAAGGTCCACTCCTGAAAATTCAGACGAGGATAAGGTTATTTCTAGGAGCATGTCTATGATAAAATTAAACAAGAATGGAGAGAGTAGACATCCCTGACGGACATCACTTGAAGTAAAGAATTCCGATGACAGTTAGTACAGGTAACATATCTAACTGAACGGTTTTTTCTGATTGTTTCCCTTAACTGAACTGCCGCTCCCACTACTATTAATATTATTTCACTAATATACATATTTCTATTCATTTTTTCTTCTTGTTTTACAATTGTTTCTCTCTCTTTACAATCTCATATTTATTAAGTGGCATATATATATATATATATATATATATATATATATATATATATATATGCATATATATATTAGTGCCTACTTGTATCAATATTTATGTTTTAAATAAATTATTAAATAAGATTGTTTATCTACTACAAGAGACATTTCCCGTGATGCCGAAAAAAGTTTACTGAGTGTAGAAATACTAGGATAACATCTGATAGACCTGACGCTATAGTCATAGTTTCAGTATAACCAAGATTTATTACAGATGTAAATGAAAGTGAACTAGATAAGTTCAGACCTTACGCCGACATTTCCGACTTCTTAAGCCTTTTTTCGTCTACTGCCTCAAGTATTTTTGTGGATATCTGGAAATGATGTAGTTCGTAAACTCCTGAATATTGAGGAGGCTTGTTAATAGATGGTGATTCTTTCACTTCATGCACACCAGCTTTTCGTGATAATGCATTAGAGCTTTTAAACTTTAACCTATTTACTGTCTTTGTTTACGAGCATCAAACTAAGAAGTTTGCTGTCATCAAGGCTATATTACAGAAGCGGGTCAAGTTGAGTGATAACCACCCCATATTTTGCGATAATATCAATGACGATAAAATAACCTTGTTATGACTGAAATTGCTGGAGGACTGTTTATTGATGTGATGAGTGTATTGCTTATTATGCAAATTTTTTATAAATTTTTGCAACGCGAGTCCTCTTTGTTACCCTCGGTTGCTGTGTTGGTACCGTACATAAACCGAGAAGTCTTTTACTTCCTTAGGGATTAAACGACTAAGTTGGAACCTATCAGTTGCATCGAAGACAAGTCAGTGTCACGGAAACGTATATTTTTGTTTTCCTTGAAAATTAATGACTGAAATAAAAATTTCACTATTTCGATCATCATTCTTACTGGTACTTATTTTCTTGGAAAATTAAGGGTGAAATTCTAGACTATTAAGGAAACAAGCGAAATATTTAACAAATATGGGAGAAATTTCAATATGTTTATCTATAAAAGATAAGAACCAGCTGGGGCATACTGAAGAAAAAATTGGACTGTTCGGCAATCACAAAAGTTTAAATTCATATGCTTCTCGCTTCGCGAAGGACATTTACGAGTTATGTCGTGTTACTTCTCAAGCTTAAGCAAGAAATGGGAGACCATTTGTTTCCAAATCGCCTGAAATACCGCCAAATTTTCCCAGTCAATGTGAACTGTATTTCACAATAGTTTGCCTTTTTTCCTTTTATTGTTTAATTGGAGAGCATTAACTAACTGAGCTTGTAAATAATCTCATAGCAAAACATCATGTTCATAATTGTTAAAGAAAAATGTCTCTTTAGGGAACAAAAATTTAGGGGGCGAGAACAGACATACTTTTCTTTACATACCATTAGGCCATTAAATGAGAACTGACCTGTACTACACGACCACCTTGGAAAAGGTCAGATATTCATTTGCCGCAGTCATAGATTCAATATGCAATATCTGTGCACAAGCTGGTCAATTTTTTCACTTGTTTCTTGTTTTTTCGGTACGGTTAAAGATATCTGGTGATGTTAGATGGATAGAAGTTGAGACGCTCCACAGCCTTGATTCTTGTCAGTTGGGCTATCGTATTATCGAGCTGTCGACCTGTTAGTTTCAGTGTGGAGAATAATGAGTGAAAATGCTAAGGTTAAGTAGGAAATGTATGTTTTAAGAGAAAAAAATACGTAAATAGACGAATCAGGCAGTTTTAGTATGAATTTTAAAAATAAGAATTGCAGCAAAAATGATGTTAAGTGTAACCGTGTAAGTTGTTGAAATAACAAGAAATCGGTTTCAATATTTGATTTCGAGATATCTGGTCCAGGCAGGAGATGAAAATACGCATATAAGGCAAGTTTTTCTCAAGTCTGTTCCTGAAGTTAATCACTGAGTGGGCTGTGGTCGCTTCATCTGAGAAGACTTTACACTTAGGGATATCTCTTATCTGAAAAGAGTGGGTGTGTACCTGGGTGTCCGCTATTCAGCATGCAATTTTTTGGAGGTGATGGAGTTTCAGGATGCTCATGTCGGGCACTTAATATAGTATGTGCCATTATCAAATCATCTATTTTCCAGAAACTTATCTAGGACAGTCGCAAATGTTGAATTTCGTAATCGTAAGGTTTCTTTTTTCAGCTCTGCCACTCATTTAGTTGCTCGCCTCTGTAGTCGGTCAAAAAGGTTTACGTTTCTTGTAAGGAGGAGGTCCGCAACCACATTAGGAGCTTGAAGGTGGGTCATCGTGCACGCTCTAAAGAAAGTTAGGAAATATTTTTGGTTGTTTACATCGGGGTGTCTTCACTTAAAGTAAACCGTTGTGTTTACCAAGTTTCGTTCTTAATGTTACTTGAAGTTGTGTCCAGACCTTGTGTGGTTGCCAGACCGAGGTCGCGCTGTGAGGAGACTTTAGGGAGGAGGTAAGTTGTTCGTGTCATACGGTAAAGAATGTTCATGACGTGAAATCTCAACTGGTTAATCTTTACCCCGATCTCCACTGCCCATCATACTAAGCTGAGATGAATCCTCTTCTCCTTTTTTTGGAGCTCCAGATATTTGCTTCACCTGCACAGATTAGTGTCACTGAGTCGGTTTACCTAAACAGTACATTTTTAAATAGCAGGGAGAGGGGAATCAAAGATGGTCCTTTGGGAAAATGCTGATATTGAAACTCATCAACACATTTGCACTTTATGTAACCCTTTACAAAACTTTATTTTCTCGGGGTATTTGCTGAGTTAAGATGGAGGTAGATCAGTTTTGTCCATCTTTTTAACCTTCCCTAAAGATTGTAAAACAGTTACTGCATGGAAGGCTTTCGCAAAGTCAAGAGATGTAAGACGAACAGGTATTTTTTCAGTCCCAGCAAGTTATATGGCTATTCCATGGTATAATAATAATAATAATAATAATAATAATAATAATAATTTATTCTCAAATAACAAACATGTTACAAGAGACATGCCAATTTACAGGCAAGATCAAAATGTTAAGATTAGCAACATATTTTTTTCTGAAAACGGTATAATGTTACTGAAACATTTCATAAGATTCATTGTTTTTTTAAAGTTGGAATGTACAAAGCGATCAATTGGCGCAAGTTACGAAGGTTGCGTTACGACAATCATCTTATGGGCTGAGAAATGATTCATGGTACAGATGGGTTTTCATATAACAAGAATTGATGCGGTAAATGTACAAAAGTCTGGTTGATATTCGTCAGCTAATGATTTCACATGTTCTTGGCTAGGGTAACCAAGTCTACTGCAAATATCCAGACAAATATAAGTGGATTGGAATAAGGTTCTGAAAAAAGAGGAATAAAGAAAACGGGACGAGGAGCGGAACAGAAAATATTCTTGTTCAAAGCCGAACAACGGCTTTGCACATACGTTTATGGATAAAACAAAGGTATATTTACTCAGACTTTTTTAATATCATAACAAAAACTAAACACCTGCACTTATGTAGGTTAATGAAGACAATTCAGTAGTGAGATAACTAATGAGAAGTTAGTTGAAAGAATAGAGGAAATTCAGAAGAACCAAGTTGTTAGTAATAAAGTTGATTTACAAAATATAATAAAGAGGATCAGTGATATAATTTTTTGTTTTATTTATTCTTTTTATTTTTAAATCTGAGGCTCAAGAAGTTATGAATGAGCTCTTTTTTAGTATAGTTGTCCAGACCAGCTTGTAATAGGATTTCTCGGTAGGAAGTAAAAACCAGCGCAAGGTTACAGACATGGGTTGTAGACGAGGTTAACTAGGAAAAGTAACATCAATATCACTGATTTGTTACATCCTGCTATATCGTAAGGAGCCGTAAGCAAACAAAATGTTCTGCCACACAGACATGGGTAGATTGAGGTTATCGCCCCACCGTCATGAATGCTGGTCAGATACACCACCCTCCCTCCTTTTGTGATGTTAGGCTCTCTTACGTTTAATGGTTAATTGTAAATAATGGTCTCTAGTCTACTCTCAATTTTTTTTTTTGTACACCTTATCGGAATTAACATTCTCTACTAGCTCCAACATTACAAGCAATCCAGACAACTTTGCCAGATAATATATCCACATAGCATATCACACTGATTTTAAGTAAACGAATGGTATAATTTGTAAGATGAGTCAGTTAATGGGTAGTTTGGAAATAGGAAGGACAGGGAGCTGGAACGAGGAGAAAGTGAAAAAAAAGAGTTGAAATAATGTTAAAAATTAATGAGTAAAGCGATAAGTTGGTAAGCAGGCAAGGTGTTTGGATGTTAATGAATTGGGGAAATAAAAATAAGTTAAACTGTTAATACGTAAATAAGAAGATACTCACAATGATACATGGTGTTTGAGTTCCTTGTAATTGACAGTAGTTGATCAGCATCTACAGGCTTGTCAATTTGTCTGTCTACTAGAAATAAAAACTAAAACTGCTATGAAGATATGAAAATAATGATTGGAATTTAAAAGCAGAGAAAAGTCACGGTTAACACCTCAAAGGCGTAACCTATTGCTGTTAGTAGGAGCAGGGGGATTTGTCTACCATTTCATGATGCATATATGGGTGGTAATGAGAACACAATATGGTCATAGTCTATAATTAGTTTCTGAGGTTTATCTAAATATTTGGTGGACCATAAAAGAGTGCCTGGGGACTTTGTGTGAGTTCTGGGAATAGTCGATAAATCTCTTTAGAATCTAGCAACAACATGACTAGTTTCTTGAACTTAGTGATTGTGTCACAGATACGAATAGCGATTGGTAACCTGTTCCACAGTAGACTGTATCGTATTACAAAGAAATTAGAACGCAATGATTTTTTGTGTTTTGCCGTTAATAGTGTATATGCGTTGTTTCTAAGTCTGTAAGCAGTGTCTTGGTTCATAGTTGGGCGGTATTTTACGAACGAAAGACCATTTATTAGTTTATAGAGGAGCATTAGGTTGTTTTTGAGACGACGGCGCCATAGAGGTTCTAGGGAAAGATGCTTGCATCTTTCTGTGTAGTCGAGGTTATGGCTCAATCCGAGCAGTCGCCGGGTGAAGCTTCTTTGTACATTTTCTACTCGCATTTTGTCCATGATATTCATGTTTGAAAATATGAGTGAACAATATTCAAGTGTGGGCCTTATACAGATTTTGAAGAGAGTAAGCTTAGCCTCACTTGTGAAGAAGTTCTTGTTTATGAACCCAATTAGTCGTCTAGATTTAGAGATAATATTTGAGGCATGTTCTTCGAATTTAAGGCTTTTAGAGTAACTAATACCAAGGTCACGCGCTGATATGAGTGTCTGAACTCTACATTTTTGTAAGTAGACTGGTGAATCAAGGTGACGCTTGCTAAAATGCATTATGGCACATTTGTTGTGGTTAAACGGCAGTTGCCATGTCTCGCTCCAGGTACTTAAGTTATCAAGATCACTCTGAATCTTAGCTATATTTTCGTCCAGATCTTCAGGCTTATAGCTGTATACTATTTTCAGATCATCAGCATATAAGTATGCTCTTCCAAATTTAATAGTATTACATATGTCATTTATGTACATTAGAAACAAGAGTGGACCTAAGACACTTCCCTGGATAACCCCACTGGTTATTGGTCTTGGTGATGAAAGACACTCGTTGTAGTTAACCATTTGTTGTCGCCCATTTAGAAATGAAGCTAACCATGAGTGTAGTGGGTTGATGATTCCAAATGACTTCAGTTTAAGTAGAAGCCTTTTGTGTGGGACTTTATCAAAAGCCTTTTTAAAATCGAAGAAAAGGACTGATACCAGAAGCCCTTTGTCTTGTTCATTCGTGATATCGTTGAAATAATCTAAAAGACATGTATCACACGACCTGGACCTCAAGAACCCATGCTGTGAGGTCGATATAAGATTGTTACTAACTAGATGTTGTAGTAACTCTGCCTTAACTATTTTCTCCATGACCCGAGATACTACCGAAGTTATGTTTATAGGTCGGTAATTTTCAACGTTCGCTGTAGGCCCAGATTTTATTGTGGGGATGATATGTGTAGTCTTCCAGTTATTAGGGTAACACTCTGTGGAGAGAGATATAGTAAATAGTTTGAGAAGAATAGCACTCAGATCATTGCTACCATTTTTCAGCATGCTGGCTGGGATGCCATCTGGTCCTTCAATGTAAGAGTGCTTCAGTGTACTAATCGCCTTAGAAATGTTCTGTATACTAAATTCAACACTGGCGATTTCACAGGAAGGAGTTTGGGTCAGATGTGACTCATTTGTTGAGTTTTCGTTTGTTAATGTGGCACAAAAATGTTCGCTAAACAACTCTGCGATACTTTTAGGGTCTTCATACACTTGATTGTCCTTAATAAATATGCTACCTCCTTTCACTTTGGAGCATTTGAGTTTATTCCGAAGGAGTTTTATGAGTTCAGAGGATTCCCTGTTCAGCTGAACAGCACGCTTTTCC